GTAATCTAGACATAAACACAGAAATTAGATAGACAGAAATCATACACACACACACACACACACACACACATATTTACTAGGATGTAAACTCCATTAGAACAGGGATATTTTCCCCCTCTTCCCAACTTTTAGTAAATGCTTGATTAATAGTAAATACTTAAATATATATTTTTAGAGGAATAAATGGATATGTGGAACATTAACATTTGGGTGCTTAATTTAATGTTTATTTTATCAAAGGTATATGTGTCCATTTTAAACAGTTGAGTGTCCGTCTGACACTTATAATGAAAAAAGCAAAATGTTCCCCAGCCCTTCTCCCAGGTCTCACTCATTAAAGCAACCACTGTCAACTCTTCTGTGCATATTATACTATTGATGTTTGGCTGTCTCCACTAGAGTTTGGAATTCATAAAGGGGGGAAATTTGCTTTGCTTTGCTGTCTGCTGTATCCCCAGTTCTCAAAACAGTACTTGATAAATCATAAGCACCCAGCAATTAAATTGCCTGCACCATGTTTTTAATTTCAATGAGCTCTTTTTTGTTCTCTTCATGTTGCTCCATATACTACCCTGTTTTTATCTTGGATGCAACAGACTTATATGGATTTTGGGTTTTTAGCACTCTATTTTTTTGTCCCTGCTTTCTCTCTGAATCTTTCCCATGCTTTTTTGTTCCTGTTTCTTTATTTTTCTCCTGGTTTTCATGTGAGTGGTTTTCCTCACATATGTGCATATACTTGGTGTGTTTTGAGTTTGAAGGCTCAGGCACTCAGAAGCTGACTGGCAGTTCTTATTCTTAAATGGGCAGAGCTTGTCAATTGGTGATTGATCAGGTGGCCCATCTGTTTCTTGTGGAATCCAGTGGTCAGCAAAGATTATCTTCCCCCCACCCCTTAGGCCATGCTCCCTAAGGACGAATCCTCCTACCTGAAGCTTATGAGACTAGCAGCCAGTCAATGTCCTGGGAGACACAATGCCTTGGAAAGGAGTCCTGCAGACTTCAAATTCTGGCATGTAGACTTTGGCTTAGACTTGTTTTAGTGAGATTTCTTTTACCCTTCAGACATCAGGCAGAGTGGAAAAAGACAAAAACTAAATCCTACTTCTAATCTGTATACAAGCTTTTTGATATCACTTATAACAAGAGATTTTGTTATTTGTGAGTTTGTACACTAGACTGTATGGTCCTAAATGTAAGCATTTAAGTGCTGAATAGTGTGTAAGGTCAGTTTCTCAGAATTAGATCCTGAGACGAAGATTTAGGTGCAAGTGATTTATTAAGGGAGTGCTCCCTGGCGCAGCCAGTAAGAGTGTGGGGAAGCAGGCTAGACACAGGGAAGAAATCAAGGATGAGGACAGCATCAAGGGAAGCCCCAGCCTCAGTCTGATTCTTAGGGAACCTCCACATGGTAACCTTAAGTCTTAGAGTGTGCCTGATCTCCAAGGAAAGGAGCTGGGCCTTTGTCTTTCTACCCCACAGCTAAGAATTGTGGTTATATTGAAGAGGAAGCAAAAAACTCCCAGGCGTTTCTAGCTTAGCATTGGCAAAGTGGCTTCCTTGCCCAAAGGGAATCCTCTGGAGATCTGGACCACCAGCCATTACCAGCCAACTATGCCTAAGCCTGGGATGGGTCTCGGCACTGATCAAATGGATCCATCAACGGAGAGCTGAGCAGGCACCAAGAGTATCCACTGAATTCTAGTGTCTTCTCCATAAAGCCATTAATTAAATAAAGAAATGTAAATCCCTAATAATTATAAAACACTTTGCAGTTTGCAGACTTGTATGGGTTTTTTGTTTTTGTTTTTAAGTTTCATTGTGACTGATCTTTAGAAAAATTTAATGAGAAGAACAATATCACTATCCTGGTTTTTCAGAAGTCTAATAAATCAGAGATTAAGTGACTATTCTAACATCTTCAGATCCTAAGCCTAGAGTTTATTTCTTTAAATATTTTATGTTGACATATGGAATGCATATAAATATGATTTATTTAACCTGAGTAAGTCTCATGGTGACTTTAATTTAAAAAATACAGGAAATCAAGTAAGGCATAATCTATTTCTCATTTTTAAAATTATTTCCATTTAGTTTATCTAACATTACATTGAAAAATTGAATTAAGTGGATAGCTCCATATTAGATGTCTGCACAGTCTCTACTATCATTCAAGGCTTCTCTCAGTGTTTCATTCCTCAGATGACTTAATTAAAGCCAGTGTGAAAAAGAAAGTATTAAAAGGTTCCTGGAGCCCTGCAAGAGGTTAATTCATTTAGAATGTACTTGGAGTTCTTCCATAATTTTCCCATGTGGGCCTATTTACATATAATACTTATGACTCATGGCATTTCTGCCGAGGAATGAATATTCTTCCATAAATATTTCCAGTAACTCTTACAGTCTGTTATTGACAACTTCTTATCAGACACTTCTAGTTCAAGAATCACTTACCAAGAAAAAGTCTACCTTTGCTTCCCTGTTTTTGCTAACTCTACACCTCTCACTGATGGAGAATCTCTCTGTGATTTGATCAATTCAGAGAGAATGAGGACAGGAATTTACCCCCGGTGGTGGATTAACTCAGAACTAAATAGCTCCTAGTGTGTTAACGCTGTTCCTGTCACTTGAACCCTTTATCCCTTCTGGAGGATCTAAAACAGTGCTTTTCAAACCTGGTGACACATTAAAATCACCTGGGGAGCTTTAAAATACACAGATGCCCTGGCTCTGCCCCAGACCAATTAAATCAGACTCCTTAGGCTCCGGTCTAAGTTTAAAGCCCCCATGTGATTTTATCGCACAGCCAAGGTTGAATACACTGATCTGAAACAGAAGAAATGTGACAGGTGCATTGGTGTCAAGAATAGATTTGCCTGTGTCCCACATCTTAGAAGTAGTTTTCAATTCCTTTTAAGCTGAGAATTTCTCCATTTATTTTGGTCTTTTTTGAAAGCCTGGTTGACCAACTTGAGGTCACAGTTGAGCAAGACAAGTGCCTGATGAAACTGTATCTAGGCTGTGGTAGCAGTTATTTGATACAGTTTGAGCACATAAGGAAAAGGAACTGTTATACCTTATAGAATCTGAGAATTGAAACTTCTTTTGCCCTAATGCTTCTTCCTAATGCCTTTAAAGATGCTGATTTATTACACCAAGGATCTATGTTATTCTATTTTAACCTGCTCCCTGGATAATTCTTATGGCGGTAATACAGACAACCCATTTTGAAAAACAAAATTCTGATTTGTTTAGTTGTTATTGTTATTTTTGCAAGAATGAAGGAAGGAATAAAATATGATTTAAAAAGTTACTCTGACATTACTATATTGCTCATCTGCATTCTGTGAGTTAACACATGAAAAGATTCTGCTTACTCATTTGATATAAAGTATGTACACACACGTATACATGCCTATTTATATAAGAAGCAATGAATTCATAATTCACTCTACTGTTATAATTGATACTATGTGACAAGAGGGTCTGGGAAATTATATACACTTACTGAATTTAATGATTATTTGCTATTTACATAGAAGTATTTTATATAAAAAATATCCACATTTCAATTCTAATTGGTTTTACATATCTCAGGAGATTGGACTTCTGTTTGGGGGGGGTTATATCTCTCCAGGATAGAGATTTTATTACAATGTGGTAATTATTATGAAGCTTTTTTATTTTTAGGGGGCAATAGGTCAGATATTAGCTAAAAACCTTCAGGGATATTTTAAAATTTAGTAAAATAGTTGATAATATAAATTTTATTTTTATATATATATATTTTTTAATTTCTAGGAGAGAGAGAGAGAGCGTGAGCAGGAGAGGGTCAGAGAGAGGGAGACACAGACTCTGAAATAGGCTCCAGGCTCTGAGCTGGCAGTCAGCACAGAGCCCGACGCGGGGCTCAAACCCACGAACCGCGAGATCGTGACCTAAGCGAAAGTCGGACGCTTAACCGACTAAGCCATCCAGGCGCCCCAATATAAATTTTATTTTTAATGAAGTTTAGCTTGTAGCTCTGATAGATGAAGTAATTAGGTTTAAAAAGTTTCTATTTTTTGCATGTTATAGGAGTGTCATAATTAGAAAACAAAGAAAATGTTTATTTGAAATTATGAACTACATTAAATCATATTGATATCTTAAAATATACCATTGACATATAAATCAAGTAACAGGGGCATTTGGGTGACTCGGTTGATCGTCCAACTTTGGCTCAGATCAGGATCTCACGGTTCATGGGTTCAAGCCTAGTATGGGGCTCTGCTGTCAGCACAGAGCCTGCTTTGATCCTGCCTCCCTTGCTCTCTGTACCTCCCCAGCTTGCACATGCACATGTTTCTGTCTTTCTCTGTCTCAAAAGTAAACATTAAAAAAAAATCAAATAACAAACAGCATTTATATGCTTTGAACTTACAGATAAATTAATGGTTTTTATTATTAATGTGTTTTAAATTTTAAATATTGAGGTCAACTTTGTTCCTTTCCTTCTAAAATGAAGTAACTTTAGCTTTCTTTCCAGGACACATCTTGATATAAAACATTTAGGAAAATATGTTTTTAAAAAGTCTTTGATTAATAGGAATTGTATGTGGTTAAGTAATATATTTACATTTTCATATATAATTTTTTTAATGTTTTATTTATTTCTGAGAGAGAGAGAGAGAGAATGTGAGCAGGGGAGGGTCAGAGAGAAAGGGAGATACAGAATCTGAAACAGGCTCCAGGCTCTGAGCTGGCAGTCAGCACAGAGCCCGATGCGGGGCTCGAACCCACGACCGCGAGATCATGACCTGAGCTGAAGTCGGATGCTTAATCGACTGAGCCACCCAGGGGCCCCCATATATAAAATAAATTAACGTCTCTGTTTAATTAAGATTCAGGTTTACATTTCTACCATCCCATGTGTTTACTGTTATGCCATGTTATAGTTCAAAATAATTTAATGATGTCTGATGTTGTGAAGCCTGTATTTGACCAATGGCCCTTTTCAGTTTCTTGGCAGTACAGAAGTGGAGCAACCTAAAGGAACTGAAGTTGTAAGAGATGCAGTAAGAAAACTAAAGGTAGGTCAAGCCCTCCACATAAATGTCTAGTGTATTGATTCTGTCTTAAGTCACCAGTAGATAGATGGATATTCAAAGCATGAATAGCTTTGTGGCAGGTAGAGCTTTGTCTTGTTGAAAGTGGGCTATTAAAAAAGAAAGAAAAAAAGGGGCTATTGAATAAGTATCACGAGATCAGGGACATATATTTAACCATAAATATGAATACACAATATATTTTCTGAATGGGAACATTCTGAATATAAACATTCTTCATATTTTTCCATAATTTCTCATACTCCACAACAACAACAACAAAGTGGCAATATTCCCTATGTGTTGACCTTTGGTCGTTTGCTTTATTTTGCTTGGACAATGTAGACTCATGCCCTGACTCAAAAACTAGTTATGGCATAAGAGCTGGGTCGCATAGTTAGGGTATGACATCTACGATTTGAAAGTGTAGAGTTGGGAATTGATTACTTGAGGAACGAGTAAGACCAAAAGAGCAGAAGAGACATTTAATAAGTAACTCCATACTCAAAATTGTGTTTCCTGAGAAAATCTTCTATAAGATACCACATTTCTTAGTATGTTTTTCTAAGTACAGCCCATCCCAAAAGACATTGTTCTCATGGAGAAAATAAGATGTGAAAAACCCCTTCAACAGAATTCTCATCTTTATCTCATTAAGAAAACCTAACATACCACTGCTTTTTTTTTTAACGCAATTAATTGTTATTCTCTGTTAGTCACTCTCACAATTTTTCTGGAAACAACCATTCTCTAACTTTATCAGTTTAGAGATGATCTAGTTATTTGACGTTTATGTCATAGACGTAAAAAAAAGTATCATTTTTTGTTGAGCATGTCATCTCAGTTGGAGTCTACTGACTGTTCAAATTGAGGCAAAGCTAAAGTGGGATGGCGTGCATTCTGGGGGAAGAAAGTAACATGGATCATACTTTCATCTACCCATTTTATATGTAAATAATTTACTAATGCTTTCCAGTAAACATACTAAAAGGTTACAAGATACCTCTCCCATTTGGTAAAAAATGGATGAGGCAAGAATTTCTTTCCACCACTCACTAGGTAATAATTCAGTCTTGCCCTTGTTTGGCCAGTATTTTTAAGCACAAATAGAGGATTAGCAAGGCTCCACACTTTATGAACAATATTTAGAAAGGATTCTATTTAAGTGTCCAAAATATTGCAAACTTGGCATGAATCCAGCTTCACTACAGTGAGAATTTTTTATAGAAGAATAATAGTATTTACACTTAGTGTGCCTTTATATCTAGGAGGCTCTTTATTCAGTCAGCTCAGGTCCCAAACCAAAAGGATTCAATTATATTATGACCAGATAAAATGTAGAGGCATGTGAAATGAAATGCTTTTAAACAGTGGCTAGTTTTGCTACATTTTTGTGAGATTTTATTTGCATTTCTATGTCGTTTCATACTTGGAAATGTACTCTGCTAATAAAGGAATGTAATTTACAATAAGTATGCAGTATAGTTTAAAAATTCATGTTCACTTGATAATTTTTGTCTTTCAAGTGTCTTCCAAAATAAATATTTAATAAGCAATTTTTACACTGCTGATTGCAAAAATTTTATACATCATGAATGTGTATTTAAGAGTAATGATTTTTAAATAAATTAAAATGAATAAAAGAAAGCTTTTTATTTAATTTTATTATATATGTATAATTTTATTATAGAAGTATATGTATATGTGTATACATATTTTATTATGTATATGTATGTATAATAAACATACACACACAGAGGTGTCAGAGGTCAGAGGCTACAATTCAAAGCCTTCAAGAGTATTTACATTGATTTTAGGAATGTAGAATGTAGACTCTAGCTCCTCTTTAACGCTGTTGTCATGTAGAAATAACCAGAAGGTGGTGCTATGGTTCTACCAAAAACAAACAAAAAAAATTTGCTTATTAACTGTATTTTGTGTGCACATCCCCCATTTTAATTTTCTGCTTCTTTTTCTTAAACATATGTATTTTGGCTGCCTTTTTACCTATTATAGTTCAGTATTTTGTTTTATTTGCTGCATGTTAATATTTACATTTACTCGTTTATTTATATTTACTCATTTTTCAAGACTGCAATATTTTGTGTATGGGATTCTGACAGGAACTTAAAATTTAGGATCAATATAAGATGGAATATTTAGAATATTTTCAATAATTTATTTTTTCATGCTTCTGTGTTTAATGATGCCTACTTATTTTTTTAGAAAAATTTCAAACTTTATTTTATTACATTCTACTTCACTATCATTTCATAGATAATTTGAATTTATACTTTATAAATTTTTCATAAATAAAATAATTTTTACTATTGTTAAAATTTTTACTTTCAGGTTTCATATTTGCCAAAACAACATATTTATATTTCTTAAACAACTATTTCTATTTCTTAGTCATGTTTTAGCCTAAGATTTAAGAAAATACCAAATTGTCCGAAATGTAATAAATGTAAAAGATGTAAAAAATTAAAATATAAAAAGCCCTTTCAACTTCTACATATTTAATAGTATTGTTATAATGAATTTTATTTTTCATTTTTTAATGTTTTATTTATTTCTGAGAGAGAGAGAGAGACCGCATGAGCAGGGGAGGGTCAGAGAGAGAGGGAGATACAGAATCTGAAATAGGCTCCAGGCTCTGAGCTAGCTGTTAGCACAGAGCCTGACGCAGGACTCGAACCCACAAACCGTGAGATCATGACCTGAGCCGAAGTTGGACGCTTAACCGACTGAGCCACCCAGGTGTCCCACCATTTATTTTTTAAGCAATCTGCTTGTGAGGTTTACATATGGATGAATATTGATATATAGATCTAAAATTTCCCAGTTTCCATGGGAGATAACCAAGGAAGCAGCATTCTTAGACCCCAGTTTTAGAGGAGTCATCTAAAAGGAGCTAACTTAAAATTACATGAAGCTACCCCAAGGAAAGATGCCTTGGGAATTGCTGCTGAGTTCTCTTAATCTTGGTCTTTTCCATTCAATATCGCTCTATGTGGCATAACACTGTTCGTCTTCAGAACCAGTTATTTAATTAATAAAATGTTTAGAGCTTAATTTAATTATATACATACACACATAGCTAATTCCCTGTAGAATCATTAGGAACATGCTTAATTAAATTAATTTATAAGAGCCACAAAGAGAAATAGTAGCTCTGAATATTTGACACACATTAATAGAATCATTGGTTTTCTTTCCTAATAATGTGTATTCCCTTAGCAATATACTTAGATTTCATTTGTTTTAAAGTCCTCTGAGAAATAAATAGAAATAGTGTGATTATATTGAAAGTGAGCTGTGCTCACTGTAAGAAATGTTCTACTTACTAGTGACATGTACTTAACCAACTACTTTATGAATTTCAAGAAATACTTTATTTTCCTCCATCATTTTATGATGTTTTTATTTATGTTTTATTTTTATTTGTTTGTTGTATCCAGATATCCTTCAGAATGCTTCGGCTTTACCCCCGTTGAATATTGTTTATTGGAATATTATAGACAAATTTTGGTGGTAGATCACTATCTAGATGGCCAAGAAATGAAATCTCTAAAGCAAAAATGGAGAGAAATTTGCAAAAAAGCTTTTCAAGTATTAACATTCAAGTAGTAAATAGGGAGCCAAAAGAATGTAATGTAAGTAAGAATGATGAGCTTGTCTTCAAGATGTAAATTAGAAATATTTTGGAACACAGCTAAGAGGTCTATCAGTAGCAAAACAAACTTCGAGTGAGAGGGAGCATGTAAACTATAATATGGTAATCTTATATTTTAGAAAAAAATGGGCAGAAATAAGAATATTTATATTCTGTTTAAAATATAAAACAATTGAGCAAATATAACCTTAGGCATAATGTTTGCAACAATCTGTGCAGCAATCAAAGCTAATAACCATTATAAACCTTGATGTACATGAAAGCAGAACTAGGATGTTTTTCCTCCCTTCCTTCCTTCCTTCCTTCCTTCCTTCCTTCCTTCCTTCCTTCCTTCCTTCCTTCCTTTCTCTCTTTCTTTCATACAGAACATGTGTCGTGCTTTCTTTTTCCTGGCAGAAAACAAGTCAGTCAGTAGATAAGTGTAATATTAGTAGTTGCTCTGTGATAGGCTTTGGGAAAAAGTAAAAGAGGTCACAGGAATGGTTGCATCCAGATATGGAAAAGGACACAAAAGCCCCTGCTCATTGTCTTGTTTCTGGAAAAGAGCAGCAGCTAGGAGGCCACTTGAGCATCCTTGTGCAGCCTGGGACGGGAATGGCTTTGTTTGGAGGCATTCACAGAGATAGAAGCAGCTAACTATTCTGTAAACCTTCATATGTGAAAACTCCCAAATTGTTTTAATTATACCAACACAGGAAGGAGGTTATGAAGGGGAAATAAACAAAATTAATCTACTTTCTTTTGGGGAGAGCTGCAATAATTTTTAAAGATCTGAAATGAAACATGTTTCTTAAAGACATACAAAAAATGATCTGGCACAAATTTGTTAAGTTCATGTGCAGAATGTAAGACTTCTGGATACAAAAAAAGAACTGCCTACATTCATAGAACAGGACAGATAGCAAGCTAAAAAATTATACCACCCAAAATCAAATAAAACAAATGGTACTCCCCCACCCCCCCACCCCCATATTATCAAGGCAGACAACTTCAAGACATTCATGTACACATTAATTATAATACTCTGATGGTGGTGCAAAACCATGAGAAGAGAAAAGTAGCTTTTAACCACTCTGTGCTCCAGGACTGAACTATACCATGTGTATTCACATCTGTCCTATATTAGACAGAAATGCACAATGCAAATAAATGTGACATACAAAAGAGGACTGAAACCCCACCCTGCCTTACATATAATCTATTTTGAGTCAAGTTAGGATGGTTCATATGCTGAAAAAATGTTTTAATAATAGGGAATAACATTTTTAAGCCCTAAAAGAGGAGTAAAAATCTTATTTTTTCAATAGGTTCCCCCCCCCCCATTTTTAGAAAAGAAATGTGAGGGAAGATTGAAAGAAGGAAGGTAGAAAGTAGCATTGCCAACAACATTGCCAAAATCAAGACATTCAGTAAACTTTGATCTTGAGATAAACAACAAATAATCGTTTAGTGTAAGTATGTATTCCAAAAAATGCATGGGACATACTTATACTAATTAGCATATATGCATTATGTGTGTGTGTATACATACATATACATACATATATATATGTATATATATATATATGGAGTATAGATGTGTATTCTAAAATAAAAGTTTTTTTAAATTAACCATTTAATATTTAAATTTAACTGGGCTTCTGTAATTTTTTTCCATTATTAAATCCAGCAGTGATGGGAGAGAGGTAGAAGCTTCATCTCTAAAGTGCATGAATTTTTTTGATTCTATAACAAAACCTAACTAGCATTTGCATATACTTGCCAATTCAATAAAAAGTTACAATAAATACTCCTATGAAAGCATTAGGAAGATATTTAGGTTTTCTAGTTCTTAGTCTTTTAGCTGGGGTAATTACCTCAATTTATAGCTTCAATCTAAATACAGTAATCTATATCTTTTCATTCATTGATTTGTCTGGGTAGGACAGTATACCAAATGAGGTAGGTATCTAGAAATGACAAAGAATTGGCATATGCAGTATTGATGAACTGTAGTTCTCTAAACGTATTTTTAAAAATCCACAGAAAAATAAATTGGTCTTTGCTTATCTTCCCACAAAGAGTCTTCATTTTCTTAACTAATTAGTATGAATATAATTGTTTAAATACAATGATAGAAGAAGTATATTAGAAATGTTCTTAAAAAGTTACTCAATATCCATCTGATTTTAATGATAGTAATGACAGACTATTATGATTACTAAATAGTTTGAACCTATATGATGTTTATAAAATACTTTATAATGGCTAATAATTTATTTAATGAAAGTCCAACACTGAATACAAACTATGTATATATGTGTATATGTATTTGTTTGTGTTTCTTAGCCATAGTAATAACATTATAGTTTTCTGAATAATTTTTCACTTGTAGTTTGCAAGACATATCAAGAAATCTGAAGGCCAGAAGATTCCTAAAGTTGAGCTGCAAATATCAATATATGGAGTAAAAATTCTAGAACCTAAAACAAAGGTAAGGCTTCTTTTTGAATGTCAGAAGCACTCTGATCTTTCCTTAATGGCAGTTATATACCTATTTCAATAAATACTTAAAATTGGTTACCAACTGGAATGGGTTAGTCCTCAGTTAATGACACTTTAAAATTCTGTAGGATTTTAGGGGAAAAAACAACTTTTGGGAGTGCTTCCAAAGTGGTCTATTCTTCAGCCTGTGCTTGAGATGGAAACGTATTTAACAGTGTTTGGTCTTGTTTTCAGGGATTTATCTTTGTGTGCTGTGAAGGAGATGTGTGAAGTGTGGTTCACTGAGTATGAAAGGAAACAAAAGCTGTGTGCTGTTAATAAAATGTTTTGGACTGCCTCTTATTGCCTGTGGACATAATCAGTGTGTATTAGTTTCCTGAGGCTGCCATGATAAAATACCACAGATGTGGTGGCTCAAACAACAGAATCTTATTTTCTCACAGTTCTGGAGCCTGGAAATCCAAGACTAAGCTCACAGCCGTGTTGGTTTTCTCAAGGCCTCTTTCCTTGGCTGGCCGATGGCCACACTCCTGCTACCTCTTCACATGGTCATCCGTGCACACACACCCCTGGTATCTCTGTGTGTGTCCAATTTCCTTTTCTTATTAGGGGACCATTCAGATTGCATCAGAGACCATCCTAATCGGCTCACTTTAATGTAATCACCAGTCTAAAACCTCTTCAAAACAGGCACATTCTGAGGTATGGGGGGTTAAGTCTGCAGCATATGAATTTTGGGGGAATATAATCCAGCCCATTATACAGCATAAACCTAAAGTTCTTGTACTTAGAGGCCTTTCCCTTATGAATGCCATGAAAAAAATTTTTTTAATATAATCTACTCTGGCTTCACATGGATTTGTTAGGCACTGAATTGTTTCTGGCCAAAATTCCTATGTTGAAACCCTAAGCACCAATGTGACTGTACTTGGAGACAGGATTTTTAAAAATTATTTTAGGGGCGCCTAGGTGGCTTAGTCGGTTAAGCATTTGACTTTCGCTTAGGTCATGATCTCGCGGTTCATGGGTTCGAGCCCCGTGTCGGGCTCTGTGCTGACTGCCAGCTCAGAGCCTGGAGCCTGTTTTGGAGTCTGTGACTCCCTCTCTCTCTCTGACCCTCCCCTGCTCACGCTGTCTCTCTCTCTCTCTCTCTCTCTCCTAGAAATAAATAAAACATTAAAAATTTAAAAAAAATAATAAAAATAAAAATTATTTTAATGTTAATTCATTTTTTTGAGAGACAGAGAGAGAGGGAGAGAGAGAGACATACACACGGAATCTGAAGCAGATTCCAGACTCAGCCATCAGCACAGAGCCTGATGTCCTGAGCTGAAGTCGGAGACCTAACTCACTGAGACACCCAGGCACCCTTAGAGATAGAATTTTTTTTTTTTTTAGAGATAGAATTTTTAAGGTAATTATGGTTACGTGAGGTCTTAATGAGGCCTTAATCACACTAGGACTGGTGTCCTGGTAAGAAGAGAAAGAGACACCAGGGATGTGCAAGCACCAAGGAGAAGCCATGAGAGGATGCAGGGAGAAGGCAGCCACGCAACCTACACTGAGAGAGGTGTCAGCAGAAACCAGACCTGCTCACACCTTGATCTTGGACTTCCAGCCTCCAGAACCGTTTAAATCTCTGTTGTTTAAGCCACCCAATCAGTGATGTTTTGTTAGAGCTGCTCTAGAAAGCTGATATAGTATGTTATTCACTATGCTTCAGAATTATTGCTTAATAATTTTTATAAGACCATGAAAGGTTGGGAAAAATCAATTCATATTCAACTTCAATTAATCTTACCAATATATATTGCCAGTACTTTCCTCTGACACTGTGGCATACTTACTGCCAAAATTAGTTCGATCTGAAGGCCTAAGGAAACCATGGCCTATAAACAGATTATGAAACTATTTTTCATGCATCTGTTAACTTTTCTCTAGTTCAGCATTTGCCATTGATAGCTTCATCTATGTGCATAACAAGCCCTGATGATGTCTTGTTCTTCAAAGTATAGTCTGCACACCAGCAGCATCAGCTTCACCTGGGCAGTTGTTATAAATGTAGAATCTAGGGCCCATTCCAGACCCACTGAATCTGAACCTATGTAACTTAGGGAGACATGCAGGAATTCTTTTGCACCTGAAGTTTGAGGGGTTCTGGCATAGTGCGGAGTCTCCTGGTAGTAACCCTTCTTTTCAAAATGTAGTCCATGTATACTTGCATAAAAAATACCTGCCGCTTGCAAAAATAAGTTCTAAGGCCCTATCTTAGCATACTGAAGATATGAATCAGTGTGAGGACAGAATATGTGTGAGGACAACTGGGCTGTGGCATGGATGCACTCACAGTGATTGTTCAAATTACAGAACAATGGCATCCCTTCATAGTTCTCAAGCCATGAGTATAAGACCTCCCACAACTATCCTGTTTAATTTCTTCCCATGAGTTACACTCAATATTAAATAAGAAACAAAGAATTGGAGACTTTACTTTGGTTATGGCTGTTGCCCAATAACCACTGCCTAGGTGGGTAAAAGAAGTTGTGAATGAATAGTAGAAGGTCTATTTTAAGCACATAATGGAATACATATAGTTTACTGGAAAACAGGGGAGTTGAAAATGAGCCCTTATTACTGAACAGGTGGGTTGGCTCAGGTTACTTCATGAGCAAATGGTGGTTACAGAAGAAGAGTAGACTGAGGAATAAGTTACAGAATGACAATGAAACCAGATGTGTAGTCTTATTTGCAGTTAAAAAGAAAAGCAATCTTAGTCCTGCATTTCCTTTTTTAAAAACGTATTTGTTTATTTACTTACTTGCTTACTTATTTATTTAGAGTGAGGGAGAGGCAGAGAGAGGGAGAGAATCCCAAGCAGGCTCCATACTGTCAGCAAATAGCCTGACATGAGGCTCTATCTCAAGAACTGTAAGATCATGACCGGAGCCTAAATCAAGAGTTGGATGCTTAACCAACTGAGCCACCCAGCTGCCCCAGTTCTGCATTTCCTTTTTAAAATTAATTGAATATGCAGTGGCAAATGTTCAGCCAGAACAGGTCATTTGTGTTTAAAATGTCTTGTAAACCATGTAGATTCTGTAACTGTTTTAAAGTATATGTGTATGTACTCAAATATTAATTCAGTTTCTTACATGAATGTTTAGGCCTCATTAAGCACACCATAAGAGATGAAGGGCTAATAATACACTTTATGTATCTTTGACATGTGTTCTTGTTCTTTTTTATTTAGGTCTGCTCATACTGTATCCTAGGCTATAAATATTTCACCAATACCATAATATGTAAATTATAATCTACTAAACCTATTCTCTTGAATTATTGAACATTTAGAATGCTTTGAATTTTTCATTTGATATGAAATTTAAATATTTAGAAAAATACATTATGAATACATGCATTGTACAGAGACAACTTCTTTACTATTTAGAATTGACAGTTTAAGGGGCACCTTGGTAGCTCAGTTGGTTCAATGTCAGACTTTGGCTCAGGTCATGATCTCACAGTTTGCCCACATTGGGCTCTGTGCTGGTAGCTTGAAGCCTGGAGCCTGCTTCAGATTCTGTGTCTCCCTCTTTCTCTTCCCCTCCTCAGCTTGCACTCTATCTCTCTTTTTCAAAAAACTAAACATTAAAAAAAAGATTCAACACAGACATGTGAGGGTTGGGGTGTAAAAAGAGAGACAGAGATATGGATTACAGAAATGCAAATATAGCTCAATGTTATCAGTTGGTATTCTAAAGTCCCCCATAGTAAGTCTTCCATGATAGTGAGTTGCCCATTGACAGCCTGTCAACCTTATCATTCTGTTCTCTAAACTATTGACTGTCAGATGTACCTGCCTCCCCCAACCTAAATCCCATTTACAAAACATCAGTGAGGTGGGATTTAACTCAAAGTGATTAGCCAATTGACTTTTGAGCATCTTATTTTGCTTTACTCAAACAATAGCACCAAAGTCTCAGTTTCTATAATGAATAGCTAATGTCAAAAGACCCAACTGAATTTTTTCTTAAAAACATAAAGTTTTCAAGCTTTTTAAAAATGTTTTTATTTATTTCTGAGAGAGGGAGAGACAACATGAGCAGGGGAGGGTCAGAGAGAGAGGGAGATACAGAACCTGAAACAGGCTCCAGGTTCTGAGCTAGCTGTCATCACAGAGCCCGACGCGGGGCTCGAACCCACCAACCGTGAGATCATGACCTGAACCGAAGTCGGACGCTTAACCAACTAAGCCACCCAGGTGCCCCAAAGTTTCCAAGCTTTTAGTAGGAAAGAACCATCTCTTTTTTTCATCACTACCAAATCAAAGGGCAATCTGGGAGTTTTAAAATCTTTGAAATGTCTTATAAATTCAATTATATTATATTTGAATAGAGAACACCTTATTCTTTACCCATATATTACATAAGAACATAAGAGTATCTGACTCTTTAACCATATATAGAATCTTTTTTTGAATCTTAAAAAAAAAGAGAAACAGATCTAAAAGGGTTTATCAGCTCTGCTGAATATCAGTACCCCTAGGAAACTCCTGAGAGTGCTGATTGCTGGAGCCCACTCAGGATTTTCAGATGCAGAATCTGCAGAACTAGACTGAGCATCTATATCATTAAAAAGCAAAAACACCTCCCCATGTGACTAATACAGCTTGTGTGCAGGATACTGTTTGAGGAGACCTAAATGAATCAGAACAAAATCTGTCATTCATCTTATTTTGGTATGTTTATTTTATTTAATTGTAATTAAAAAAACTCTTATGCTCCTAAAATAAGTTTATTTATAGTAAAATGTATATGTAAGGGGCAGGATTTAAAAATTCATTATAAATCTAACATGGATTTCATAAAAAATAGATTATTTTTCTATGCCATTTGGATGGATGAAAATAGAAGTGAAAAGCAATCTCAATTAGCTCCAATATCTTTCCTTCTGTGTCTTTTCCCCTTTCTGCTTTTCTCGCCTATGCAGTACTGGGAAGAGGTGGCATAGGTGAATCGGGGATTTACTTATATTCTGTTCCAACTCCAATAAAATATTGTCAGTGTTAAAGTTTAATTGTTTTCTAACTGTGACTTTGTGTTCTTGAGTCTATCCTGTCTCACCAAAAATTAGTGCTGCATTTAAAATTCATAAAGATCGATCACAACAACAAAAAATTCACTAAGATAATAAAATTGAGAATTTTAGCTTCCTAGTTTTCTTTTGTAGGAACATAACTCTGCTAATTTGAACAAAAATTACGATGTTTCTCAACTGTCGTTACCAAAGGCTATCTGTGAGCATACTGGTTGGTGAGTGAACAAGGGCTATGCACATTTTACCACCAGCTTAAGTAAATAGTGTGTTTTCATGTTACTTGTAATTTCTCCTACAAATGGAAAAAAATGAATTATTTGTCCATATTGTATAGCAATGATATTTCTTCTATATATCATTAATATGATTTTAAAAAACTGGTTATTTTTAAGAGAGACAGAGAGCCTGAGCTGGCGAGGGCAGAGAGAAAGGGAGAAGAAAAGCCTAAACAGGCTCCCGCGCTGTTAGCAGAGCCTGACATGTGGCTCCATTTCATGAACTGAGATCATGACCTGAGCCAAAATCAAGAGTTGGATGCTTAGCCAACTGAGCCACCTAGGTGCCCCTAACATAACATGATTATACATCTAATAAACTGGTATAGACCTGGTATCAGAATTTGGGAACTACAGTGTGGCTGCAAGGTATTGTTTGATTAACTATATTAACATGAAAACAAAAATAAAGTCTGCAAGAAAGACCAGTCAGTCAGACAGAGTATAGAAAGATAATCTCAGACAAGTATGGCCATTGTCTGTCTTAGCACTAACCACAAGAAAGGGAAGATGTCCTCATCAGAGGCCCTCTTTCTGACATTATTCCTTTGTGCACTGAAATGGATGGATCGGGCTATCTAGTAATGACAAAAACATTACAATCATATATACTTCCTCATTCTAATTTTCATGCTTGCTTTTGACAACTTATCATTTGGATTATATGCAGGGAAACAATACAGTACAGTACTATAAACACATTCTCTTAATATTTATGTGTACATCTTATGTACTCATTTTTAGTCTAATGAGCAGTAATGTGAATCAGAGTGATAGATCAAATCTCATCAAGATGACACCTAAAAACTCTGAACCTGGAAAGATGTAGTGACAGATGCTATAATTACTATATATATATTATATATAATATATATAACTAACAGTATAAGCTATATGTATATTTATAGTGTATATATATATATATATATAGTTGCAGTGTTTATATTTCTGATTAGTAGAGTTGATTCAGTACTTTAGATGCTAGATGTCTACACCTTCCTGATGAAGGCATGTAAAATACAATTTAATATGAAAACTAAGGATGAAATGATAGTATGTTTCATATGTAATTGTGTGCAGATGAAGTTAGTAATGCTAGTGAATAGCAGTAAGATTAATTGAAAATATTCTAGTTAAAAAGCATCCTGCTAATTATTTAACCTTGTGGATTATCTGAATTCTCTGGGCCTTAATGTCCTTCCAAGTAAAATTTCAAGGTTTAAAGTAACTATCTCTTAAGATCCCTTGTAGCTCAGAAAGTCCTGGCACCCCTGATTCTCTTGTATTTGCTTCTTTTCTTCTGAGTCCTATTGAGATGACTGCTTTCGTTTAATCTGAGTCAGGAGGTCCATCTCCATTACGTACTTGTTTAAATTTGGGTGTACGTAATTATAAACCAAAGTTCGACAGATGATTGTCTCACTTTTAAAGTCAAATATTGTGTTATTAACACAAGCTGGTATTTCAGAAAATGGACAAGAATCTCTTCAATTGTTTATTTCTGTTTGTGTTCACAGGAAGTCCAACACAATTGCCAGCTTCATAGAATATCATTTTGTGCAGATGATAAAACTGACAAGAGGATATTCACTTTCATATGCAAAGATTCTGAATCAAATAAACATTTGTGCTATGTATTTGACAGCGAAAAGTGTGTAAGTATGCCAGATGTTTTAGGGTGGTTTGTTCTGTTTTACAAGCCAGGAATTGTCTTGTTTCCGGCATTAGTAAAGTATTTGGAAATGAATAAGGTCTGCAAATACTTAACTACACTAATAGATTCATCCTGTCATGAGAATATGCTTCAGGATTTCATCCCTAACTGAATTCTCATGTTCATGGGCACAAGCTTGCATGCAAATTTCTTTCCTTAGAACGTCATGCCTGCTTATGTTATGCATTTATTTATCTTATAATCATTTATTTGTAACTTTAATCTCAAATATGGCTTAGTAATAGACACATAATGCAGAGTAATGGTGAGCAGAGTATTTTTTTTCTAGAATGTGGATATGATAAAAATAAATATTTTATTTATTTACCTTAATTTTTTTTTAAAATATATTTCTGAGAGAGAGAGAGACAGCGTGAGCAGGGGAGGGTCAGAGAGAGAGGGAGACACAGAATCTGAAACAGGCTCCAGGCTCTTAGCTGGCACTCAGCACAGAACCCGATGCAGGGCTTGAACCCACAAATCATGAGATTATGACCTGAGCCGAAATCAAATGCTTAACTGACTGAGCCACCCAGGCGCCCAAAAAATAAATATTTTAAACTGCAGGAAATAAAATCTGTATGGATCCATTAAGAAATCTCCAGTACTTCAAAAAGCTGGTTCTTGATTTTTGTTACTTAGAAAACCTAATATAATGAAAGGTAATAGAATTGTATATGCATGAGTATGTGTCTGTATGCATGTGTATTAGCTTAGGAATGTAATCTAATGTTCTGTCAGCAAGTAAGATCAATTAGGGAATTCTAAAGTTAAGTCCTGCAATAATTCTTTTAATCATCTGGAATCTTCAGAAAATCCCATGTCTTGATTACAGGCATAAGCTAATGTCATAATCTGGTCTGATATCCTGTTGAAAAACATAAGATAGGAATTTCATGCACACATTGCAGCTATTAATGGCTTTAATGAAGGAAGAACATCTAACCTCAACAACATTATTGACTTAGACAAGAAAAGGAACTTAAGTCATTTATTGCTTATTTTTCATGCTGTTAAAAATAGCAAAGAATTTGGGGAGCCTGGATGGCTCAGTCAGTTCAGGTCATGATCTCATGGTTTGTGAGTTCGAGCCCTGCAACAGGCTCTGTGCTGGCAGCTAGCTCAGAACCTGGAGCCTGCTTTGGATTCTGTGTCTCCCTCTCTCCCTGACTCTCCCCTGCTCATGCTGCGTCTCTTTCTCTCTCTCAGAAATATATAAACAAAAACATTTAAATTTTTTTTTTTAAAAAGCAAAGAATTAATAATATTATCACTCTTATGTAATTTATTTCTCTGGTTCCAATAGGTGAACTTCTTGATAAAGAAGACTTTTTTTTTAATGATTTATTTATTTTTGAGAGAGAGAGAGAAAGACAGAGACAGAGTACAAGTGGGGGAGAGGCAGAGAGGGAGACATAATCCTAAGCAGGCTCCAGGCTCTGAGCTGTCAGCACAGAGTAGACACGGGGCTCGAACTCATGAATCACGAGACCATGACCTGAGCCAAAGTCGGATACTTAACCAACTGAGCCACCCAGGCACCCCGTGACCTTTTTATTTATCCATATAACCACTACATTAGGTGGACAATAAATACTCAAGGAATTTTTCCATATAGGAAAAAGGGACCATATAGAAAAATTTACAAAGAGTAGAGCAAGTTATTATATGTATTTTTAAGCTATAATACTCTAAAAATGCAAACTAATGTGCTAAGCTTCTTGGCATCATAGTACTTTTTGAGGACTTAGTGAACATTATGGAACATCTCAGAAAAATATGCTCATCCATATGACAAAATTATATGCATAATAAAGCATTTTATATAAAATAAAGTACAAGTTGTTTTTGAAATTTATCCTATTGAATTAATACATTATATTTAATATTCCGAGTGATTTTTAAGAGCATGATCATTTGCAGATGTTTTTCTCTATGTGATTGAGAAGGTGAAAGTTGATATTTGTTGAATATCTTCTATGTACAAGATATTGTAACCATTTACCACATATACCAGGCAGTAAACTCAGTTGTGCTTCTTTCTTGTTTTTTTTTTAAATTTTTTAATATTTATTTATTTTTGAGAGAGAGAGAGTGCAAGGGGGGGAGGAACAGAGAGAGAGGGAGACAGAATCTAAAGCAGGCTCCAGGCTCCAAGCTGTCAGCACAGAGCCCAATGTAGGACTCAAACTCACCTAACGTGAGATCATGACCTGAGCCTAAGTTGGACACCTAACCAACTGAGCTACCCAGGTGCCTCGCCCTTCTTTCTTGCTTTATACAGAGAAATAAACGGCCTTGGGACCTTTGAAATATTCATAATTATAATTCATTATAAATATTAGCCTTTCTATAGTTTTGTGTCACGTGTTTTTATTTGATCCCATCTGAATTTATTAGATCATTTAAAATACATGCTTGCCAGAATCTCTGCATAATTATATTGCTTCAACAGTATAAGCCACCTGGGTGGCTCAGTGCACTAATCATCCAACTTTGGACAGAGGGACAGAGAAGAACTTCATATACAGATAAAAAGGGTCACACCACCTAGGAGGCCATCTGAATGTGTGTAACCAAACAATAACGTTGCAATGTAAGTGAAGCAAAAACTGATGGAACTGAAAGGAAACAGAGGATAGACAATACACAATTATAGTTAAAGACTTCACCAATTCCATTCTTCCCAAAACTGATAGAGCCACTAGAAAGGAAATCATCTAGAATGTAGAATTACTCATCAACCTTATCAACCCAGGGGATCTGATTAATTGTTCTAGAGATCTTTATTCAACAACAGCAGAATGCACATTGTCTTCCAGTGCCAGAGGAACATATACCAAAATAAACCATATCCTGGGCTATAACTCTCAAACATCTTAAGGAATAACATATATCCTGGGTGGCTTGGTTAAATGTCCAACTTCAAACTGAGGTCATGATCTCACAATCTGTGAGTTTCAGCCCTGTCTCAGGCTCTGTGCTGATAGCTTGGAGCCTGAAGTCTGCTTCAGATTCTGTGTCTCCCTCTCTCTCTGCCCCTCACTCACTCATGCTCTCTCTCTCTCAAAATTAATAAACACAAAAAATTAAAGAAATTGACAGCAAAGAAATCAATTTAAAAATCAGTAACAGAAAATTCTTCAAAGATCAGAGTTGGAACATCACACTTAAAAGTATTCTTATGTCAGAGAGGATTTCTCAAAGGAAACAAAATGCAGTGAAGTGTATATAAGTGAAAAGTGAAATAGAACTTTATCAGCATTTGTGTGATGCAGTTAAAACAGTGCTGAGAGAAATTTATGACAACTAAATCAATACATTAGAGAAAATGAAAGTCTCAAATCAATGATCTAAGCTGCTATCTCAAGTCTTTAGAAAATAAAACATCAAAACAAACTCAAAGGAACAAAATAAGAATGATAAAAGGAGAAATTAATAAAATCGAAAACAAAAACAATAGAGAAACTAATGAAACAAAGAGCTGGTTCTTTGGAAGATCATAAAAGTATCTAAATTTTGGGAAGATTCGCAAAGTAAAAATGAAGAAAAGACAGAAGTGACCAATGTTAGGAATGAAATGGAAGATTTCACTGCAGACCCTCCAGATAGCAAAAGAATAATAAGAGCATACTATAAATAACTGTATGGACAAAAAATTGACAATGTAGATGAATCAATTTCTGAAGAGATAAATACTACCATAAGTCACCCAATATTATATATATAATTTGGATAGCTTTGTAACACTAAAGGAAATGGAATTTATAATTTAAAACTTATTAAAGGAGAACTCTTCATGTCTGGATGGTTTCACTGGAGGAACCTATAAAATACTTAAAAAGGAATTAACATTATCCTATACAATCTATTTCAAAAAACAGAAGAGGTAAGAGCACCCCTCAATTCATTTTATGAAACTACTTTTTCCCTAATACCAAACCAGACAAAGTGAAAAACAAACAAGAGACCAAGCTATATCTCCAAGGAATATAGATGGAAGAATTTTTAATGAATTATTAGCAAATATAATTCTGCAATTTATAAAAGGAATTATACACCAAGACCAAATAGAGTTTGCTCCAAGGATACAAGTCTTGTTCAACATTAAGAAATCTAACCATGTGACAAAGAATGAAATCTGGATGGAACTTGAGGGTGTTAATGCTGAGCAAAATAAGTCAGGCAGAGAAGGACAGATACCATGTTTGCATGTATAGGTGGATTAGGAGGAACTTAACGGAGGACCGCGGGGGAGGAGAAGGGGAAAAATAGTTGGGGAGAGGGAGGGAGGCAAACCATGAGAGACTCTTGAATGCTGAGAACAAACTGAGGGCTGACGGGGGTAAGAGAGAGGGAAAGTGGGGTGATGGGCATGGAGGAGGGCACTTGTTGGGATGAGCACTCGGTGTTATATGGAAACCAACTTGACAATAAACTATTTAAGAAAAAATAATCCAATCATGTGATCAATCATGTTAACAGGCTGTAGAAGAAAAACCATATGATCATATCAGTCAGTGCTTAAACTCTCAGAAAAATAGGAATATAATGGAACTTTCCTGATTTGATAAAGAATATTTAAAACTATAGGTTACATTTTACTTAATGGTGAAAAAGCTGAATGCTTTCATCCCAAGACTGAGAATGAGGCGAGGATTTCTACTCTACCACTCTTAATAAGCACAGTTCTGGAAGTTCCAGAACTTATTTCTTATTTTGCAATAAGGCAAAATAAGAAAATCAAAAGCATGCAGATTGTAAGGAAAGAAATATTACTGAGCTGCAGATATCATGATTGTCTATGCAGGAAACTCAAAAGATTCTAAAAAAACACCTAGATCTAATAAATGAGTTCAACAGGGTGGCAGAATACATGATAAACATACAAAAATCAATTGTGTTGCTGTATACGAGCAATGAACACACGGACACAAAAAT